TTTTGAGAAGGTCCAGGAACCAGGGCTGGGTGGGCCATTTCAGCACAGCTAGCAGAACTGGTTCCTTCTCGTGTCTGATTCTGCACAGTACCTGATGTAGGATGTTTACTGGGGGAAAAGCATACTTGTGAGCTCTCAGCTAAGAGTGGGCAAGCGCGTCCACTCCCAGAGTGGAGGGCTCGGTCATGGAAAAAATTCCTGTACAATGAGTGTCCTCTGCTGATGCGAAAAGGTCCATCTCCGCTTGTCCAAATACTTTCCCGATCATTTCCACGGTCTGGGGGTGGAATCTCCATTCCCCCTGAGCCACTCTTTGCCTTGATAACATGTCCGCCCCGCAGTTCAGGTGGCCCGGGGGACATGGACAGCACAAGTCGACAAGAGATGCTGATCAGCCCATAACAACAGGCTTGTCACAAGCGAGAGCGGATGCCTCCTTGGTGATTTATATACGCTACCACTGGCATGTTGTCCGTGCAAATGAGAACATGTGTGTGATGAACTTGAGCATAAAAACTCTTGAGCACCAGGTGAACTGCTTTGAGCTCCAGGCATTTTATGTGCCATTTTTTCTCCTTGGCTTTCCAAATGCCGGACACTGGGTGGCCGTCGCCGAGGGCTCCCCAGCCAGTGCACGAAGCATCTGTCGTGATAACTTTCCTCTCAAAAATCTGACCAAGTGTGACACCTTTTGCATAGAGAGCTGTATCCATCCAAGGGTTCAGGGTCTCTAAACATCTGTGTGTCATTAATATACGTGTTGAACCGTCTTCAGCCATAGTTGAAACGGCCGCATCTGAAGCAGTGCCAAGTGGCACACTGCTGAGGCAGCTGACATCAGCCCCATTGCTCTCTGAAAGCATGTCAGGGAGCGTGACTTGCCTTCTTTGAACACCGCTAGTAAATTCATGATGGCTCTCGAGCGCTTTGGAAGCAGGTGGGCTTGCATAGAGATAGAATCCAAACTCAGACTCTCCATGGGTATTTCTGCTCTTAAAACTGGAGCATTTGAGGCTTGAACTTCCGATGAACTTGCGTGCAAACTGAAGACTGTAGCCATTTATTATCGTGTTCAACACCCATTCTGATATACCTGGTAGTATTCTCCACACCTCCGTGAACAGTGAAAGAGGCTTTAGCATGACAGGATTCGACAGCTTGCTGCTGAGTGACAGGGGTCTGTGATAAACATGAGTGCATGTGACAGCGGGTAGAGGAGAGAAGCTCTTTTTGTTAAGTTTTTTTGGTTTTTATAGCACAAACATGTGGAACAAACACAAAACGCAGATGCCACGAGTCCTTGGGATGCACCGAAGGCTCTGGCCAGGGCGGGGCTTTGGAGCTGTATCGGCTCATGGTTTATAAGAAGAGTGCTGAGCGGACGAGGAGCGCGAATGCACGGGAGGAAGCATGAAGCTTCATTTCAGCATGAAGTGCCGCCCTTGATTGCTTTTGTGCTTCAGAGAATCACTCTGGGAGGGATTCAGCTGATCTGGCAAAAAGCCCTGAGGGACTGATAGGGTCATTCAAAAGGATGGCCTTCTATGCATCCCTCATGTCTGTCAGTGTTAGCCATAGGTGCCTGTCTAGCACAACCAGGCTACCCATGGCACGACCGATAGACTGCGGCGTCATCTTAGTGGCTCGCAGGGCAAGATCAGTAGCGAGCCAGGCTTCAGTATTTTAAGGAGAAAGGTGTTTCCTCTATGTGTCAACAAAGCTGCACACAACATCGAGAGACATCTCGAAAGGGAACCAGTTTTGTGCCAATGACCCTGCATCAGTGTGGAAAGGACTGAAAGACATCAACTACAAGACACCATCCCCCAACTGGCCAATGATTTGAATGAGTTTTATTTCAGGTTTGAAAAATCCTTACTCACACCCCACACTAGGGCTGCACGATAAATCGTATGCGATATTTAACGCGCATCTTATCAGTAAAGCCGCTTCTGTAATCAGCTGTAAATCTCCATCACCTGCGGGCTTTCACATTGAGCAGTATTAACTACTCAGAGCCGTTGTTCACTGACGAGCTGTTCAAACCCACGTTCATATTCACGCGATTTTTTGCGCAACTCGTCAGTGAATATCGCATGCGATTTATCGTGCAGCCCTACCCCACACCCATTCTGACCTTCTCTCCATGGATATATTAACACCTCCAGCAACCCCTCTCTCCCCCTCCTGCACTTCAGGTCTGTGAAAAAGATGTGTCTCAGGTCTTCCTGAAACTGAAGAGAAAGAAAGCACCAGGCCCAGACGGTGTTACCCCAGCCTGTCTAAAAACCAATGCTGACCAATTGGCCCACATCTTTTCACAGATATTCAACAGATCACTGGAGCTGTATGAAGTTCCTGCCTGCTTCAAACACTCCACCATCATCCCCACCCCAAAGAAACCCAAAATTATAGGATTAAATGATTATAGACCTGTGGCTTTAACATCTGTGTTCATGAAGTCATTTGAAAGACTGGTGCTGGCCCACCTGAAGGACATCACTGGACCCTTGCTGGACCCCCTGCAGTTTGCTCACCGAGCAAACAGGTCTGTGGATGATGCAGTCAAAATGGGACTGCATTATTTCCTACAACATCTGGACAGACCATGGACTTATGTGAGGATCCTGTTTGTGGACTTGTAAGCACCAGCTTGTAAGGCTGGGAAAATTCTCACCCAGCACCCGCTCCATCAACACTGGTGCCCCCCAAGGATGTGTTCTCTCCCCACTACTCTTCTCCCTGTACACCCAACGATTGCACCTCTAAAAACCCCTCTGTCAAGCTCTTGAAGTTCGCAGATGACACCACACTTCTCAGCCTCATCCAGCACAGAGACCAGTCTGCTTACCGAAAGGAGGTTAAAGAGCTGACTGTCTGGTGCAGTTATAACATCCTGGAGCTGAACACGCTCCAAACAGTGGAGATGCGAGTGGACTTCAGGAGGAACCCCCCTGCACTCCCCCCACTCACCATCATTGCCATTCAAGTTCCTGGGCACCACCATCTCTCAGGACCTGAAGTGGGAGTTCGACATAGACTCCATTGTCAAGAAGGCCCAGCAGAGGCTGTACTTCCTTTGCCAGATGAGGAAGTTCAACCTGCCACAGAAGCTGCTGATACAGTTTTACGCTGCAGTCATTGAATCCTTCCTCTGCACTTCTATAACTGTCTGGCTCAGCTCAGCTCAGCTATCAGATCAGATCTTAGAAGATTGCAGCGGATAGTCCAAACTGCTGAGCGAATCACTGGTACAACCCTCCCCACTCTCCAAGAACTGCACTCATCCAGAGTGAGTAAAAGAGCTGGCAAAATTATTCTGGATCCCTCACACCCAGCCCACTTCCTCTTTGAACTGTTGCCATCTGGTCAGCGCTACAGAGCACTGAGCACCAGAACGGCCAGGCATAAGAATAGTTTCTTCCCTCAGGCAGTCCATCTCATGAACAGTTAACTTGGCAATAAACGTGTAATACACAACACTACTTATACATTTATTTATTTAACACACATACCTCTTTTTACATTTCCTTGCAATTGTACATAGGCCTAACACATCTGTACACACAAATATATTGTCTACTTTGTAGGTCACATAAAGTAATTAATTGGGTAGAAATGTCTATATATATATATGTAAAAAAATATATATATATTTTTTAAAAACTCTGTAATCAGACTTAAAAAGTCATGTAAATTCATCTGAAATAAAAAGTGTAAATCCTGAAGAATGCTCAGATATTGAAACCTCCAGAATTAAAGAATTTAATTATTTATTATTATTATTTTATTTTATTATTTTAGCTAATTTTTATTAATATTTATATAAATATTTAATTGATTAAACTCATTTAAATCGCCACTCCTAGTTTGGAAGTTTGACAGTGAGTTGAAGTACCAAAAATTGGGGGCCTTCAAATATCGTTGTTGACAATGGCAGACCTCACAGTTAGACTGTTTGAGAACCACTGCTCTCAAATCCATTGTATGGGTATCTGAAAAATCATATTGTGTACTCAAGGAAGGTCAACTAATATTTCAAGTGCCACAAAACCATTTTCCTGTGATGAGTTACATTAGGAAGTCTTTAGACAGAGAGCTTAGGAGATGTTGCATGAAATCATGGGTCCCTTTTTGTTTGTTTTACAAAGAACTATTTTCTGAAAAGGTGCCCCCCCTCCCCACACACATTTTTACAGTCTAGTTTATTGTCCAGGTGTATAAGCACCCGTAGACCTGTATCATCTCAGTGTCCTTACCCTGGACATGAAACCAGGAACAGAATGGGAAATAAACATACAGTACATTTATGAAGGCCTCGGTGAGGTGTTTCCAAAGTGACCCCTCCTGTCTTCCAAAGGCAACACAGATTGTCCGATATGCTCTTCAAAGTACTTTCATTCTTAGTTTTGCGTTCACTCTTCCTCAGTTTATAGAAAATGAAGAGAGAGATAGGGTGAGATAAAGAGGTATGTTTCTCTCAATAAGTGTGACATTCATCAAAAGGGTGAGATCTAGAAACAAATCTGTGAACGTAACTTGAATATGTTTGTTTGTTGGTTTAGCTGGTTGCTCTGTGTGGACGCGTGGTCACATTTATCTGTCAAAGTGTGTGTTTACTCTTGTTAAAGGAAGCAGGTTCCTTGCTGTAGGATGCTGAGTTTAAGTGTTGAGAAGAATCTGTATCAGGATGGTCACTTTGCTACAGTATCCAACTTGGAATGGTCTGTGTGTATGGGGAGACGAGTGTATCCATGAGGCCTGTCATTTGATGTGGGGGTGAGTGTTTGCGCTCATTTGTCATCAATGGAATTGGGTGAAAGGTCTTTTTTTCTGCGGAATTCTACCCAGCATTCAAAAAACTCAATACGATCCAGATGTGTGTGTTCTTGCATGTACGGCGACTTCACTCCTCCCTCGCCATCACACCATCACAAAACCCCCTCCTCCAGACTCTCCCCCATCTTTATATGCCCTCTCCTGTCTCGCTACCTCTTTCATAACCTCTGCTGTGAGTGTCAAGGAAAGATGGAGCGATCTCTGCTTGTGTCTCTTCTGTGTGTGTGGGCCCTCAGCAGCCTGTCTGCAGCATCAGGTGAGCGCGTTTGTGTGCATGGGTGACTGAGAGAAAATGAAAGAATTTATGAAGATTTGATAATGAATAATGAATGAATGACAGCTCATGTGATGGATCTTTGCCTTGTTGGACGAGTAAAAAATGTGGAGGCTCAGTATTTATGAATTTTATTCTTTATGTAAAGAAAATATGATGATTTGTATTTCATTTAAAAATGCATTATGGTCTCCATTTCATTACTTATAAAATTTCTGTTCACCCAAAAAAAAAAGAAAAAAAAAGTGTTTGTGTTACACAAAGAACTGTTAAGTTTTGGAATGACATAAGTGTAAGTAAATGGTGACAGAATTTAAATTTTTGAGTGTACTGTCCCTTTAAAATCTGTGTTCGATGTGTGATTTTGTCATTTACTACTACCATCCCCTCCCTTTCACATACTGCCTTGAGAATCTATTTCTTAGAGGTAGTTTTCCATGAAATTTGGAATGCACACATACATATGCAGTGGATCATTTTCTGTTTCAGTTCAAAATCATTATCATAATCAGCAATGCATATTTTGCTCTTTAATTCTACTACCAACATTCTGTTCTATTATGAGTTTGTAACATTTAAATGTTTCATCCTGTTTATGGGTGGGCTACATTTATCACTGACTGGTTTATGTGGATTTATTGTGTTAAACACCTGGTTCAGTTCAGAGAACAGTGTCTTGGACAGACAGCCAGACATTTAACAGCCTGCTATTTTATGGCACAGATTACATAAACTGTGTGATGTTGCTTGCATGTACACTACTGGTCAAAAGTTAGGAATAATAATTCAGATTTTTAAAATGTTTTTGAAAGATGTATGCTCACCAATGCTGCATTAATTTGATTAAAAAATAAAACAGCGATAGTGTGATGTGTTGTTACAAATTAAAAGAAGGATCATGTAACACTGAAAACTGCAATAATGGCTGCTGAAAATTCATCTTTGCCATCACAGGAATAAATTACATTGCAAAATATATTCAAATATGAAACCATTATTTTAAATGGTAAATTGTATTGTATTTTTACGGTATCAAATAAATGCAGCTTTGGTGACCATATGAGATTTATTTAAAAAAATATCTTAAAAATCTTAATTATTACAAACTTTTGACTGGTAGTGTATGTGTAAATGATGTGTGCATTTCTGCACATTTTTAATGTTTCTGTGCATGCTTATCTTAAAGTGGATGCAACAGAACAGTGTCCAGAGAGAATACTGGGTAATGAGAGAAGACAGACCTGCCCAAAAAAGTGTCAGCAAGATAAAGACTGTGGAAACAAACGTCAGTGTCTCTGTGATGGCCAGTGCGGACTCAGCTGTGTGGCCCCAGGTCAGAGTTAGAAACCCCATGATGCATCTAAACACACTATTACGAAACTTAAAAAGCAAATAAACCAACACGATGACTAATGATATTAAAGGCAATGTTCAAAGTTTTCATGTGATTCTTCTCTGTGAACAGGTCGTACGTGTCCATGGCCTCTCCCACCTGGAAACATTTTTGATTTAGCTCTCCTTTCCCCTTCACCCTCTTTCTCCGCTCTGCTTGAGGTTCGCTGTAAGCCTGGGTTCACCATGCGTAACGGGCTGGACACTACAATACGCCGTTGCCAAGGTGACCGGCAGTGGAGTGGAGATGAAACTGTTTGTACAGGTAAGAAGGAGAAAACATTTAAACTGTTATGTATTGTTTTTTTTTCTTCAGTTCTTTTTACTGTTTAGACAAGATGACACATCCTAAAACAAAAGAAAACACAGAAATAGAACAAAAGGGACGTAACAGTTCTTGAGAACTTGATTCTTGAGAACTATCTATCTATCTATCTATCTGGCTGGCTGTCTGTCTGTCTATCTGTTATTCTATCACTCAATCGTTCTGTCTTTGGAATATATATAATACATCTTAAAGTTTCTCTAATGGATTTTGTTGCACCTTAGGTTTAGCAAAGAACCCTCCTGTTATACTTAAATCCATTTTTCATTATAATGGAATATGAACTCTCTCTATGTTTCTTTGGAGATCAGGAAAACGTCTTGTTATTGGATTGTAGGTCTGTATAGGTATAAACTATAACAGAGGAAAAGTGATGCCCTCCTGTGTTCTTTAAAGCACTGGAACATAGATTGTTTCCTAAATAACCATAAAACCTAAAACTGTTCTACTATGGCCATATTTTCAACTAGAGGTCTGCAGAAGGTCTTGCAGGTGATCCTAAAACAGATACATATATGAAATAAATAGTATTATAAACATAAAAATGGCTCAGAGAATTATAGAAGGTGATATTTTTTGGTATATTAGTGAACATTACTATAGTGTAACCAAGAAAATTTAGCATTTCTATATTGAAGGTCCTTGGGTTGGTTCAGAGTCTAGATGGGGATCTCTGGGTCTGTAACATTTAAAAATCTGATATTGCATAAATACACATTAAAAATGGAACATGACATGAAAACATCAGTCCTGTTGCCCTCATCTAGTTTGTAAACCATGCAGTTAATGTCAATATTGTGCAATTCAGGGGGAATGCCTTCATAGCAGCAATATTATGGTAGTGATATTGAGTGCTACCGACCATGAATGCAGGAAAAAATGAGAAATATGTGTCAGTGTCTGCATAATAATGTTTTTCTTTTGTTGCATGAGTAATAAAAGCTTAGAGCTTGTGGACCTGGGTCACCACTTGTGCCTGAGCTTTGGCGTTTTAGTCTTTAGACTCTGTGGAGAGGAGGTGTGAATCGGCAGAGCTGCAGGCTGCAGCATTCCCAGTATCACCCCCTCTGTAACACATGCATACATTCACACACACATTTCCTGGAGTAACATGAGAGGTAATTCTAGGAATGAGCTGTCAAAAGAGCCGAAGTGTGGGCGTTTTGGGTCTGTGAGAACCATCATGCAGTGCTCTATTATCTGCAGATCAGTGACATGGAATATTTAACAAGCAGAGACAGGCATGTAGATACGCTGGATTCACACACAAAGTTCAAGCGCATTCAAAGCTGAATTGATGTACAACGGAAATTTGGTATGTATGCATGTTGACTGTGTGATTTCCTCCCCCTTCATTAATCAGTCATCCTCACAAAAGGGGGAGAGATTTGATACATAACTGCATGAGTCAACTGCTCAAGAGGGAATGTGAGAACAGCTTGTTCCAGATGGATTTTTTTCTGATAAAACTCAAAATGAAGCCGCACATTCTGTCCATCCATTATCTGGGTACCCGCTCAGCCACACGTTGACCTGTGGATCCATTCCCTATATATCCATCTGTCCATTCACCCAGTCATGTATTTGTACTAATGCTACCTCATCTAATGCAGCAGATAAAAGCTCCAGGCCAATATCCACAGGGTCATCCATTTGAATTCCTGTCACGACCATGTACCAAAATCCAGGGAGGCTGAATAACAGAGGGGTTTTAGTTGTAATATCTCTGCTCTTAAGGCCCATTCACACCAAGAACGATAACTGTAAAGATTACTGTATTAGTGTCCAATGGACAATAACGTTCTGTTTATTTTAAAAGTGTGCTGCAGTTTTTTTCATCTTTTGTCATCACCTCATGCTCTTTAAAATGGGGTAGATTCAGACTGGCTGTCAATGTTTTTATCATTCATCAAGTTCTGAAAGTGATTCCAACAATATTTTTTCTCTGTGTTGTTATGGTTATAGTTGTGGTGTGAACTTCCCTATTCTCATAGAATTAGAACAATTTTTAAAAATGTATTGTTCTTAGTGTGAACAGGCATTGACTCGTTTTAATGTGACACTCAGAAATACATAAAATGCTATGCAATGACCTGAATATACTTCTGATTTCTAAAACTTTTGTGTTGCAAAACTTTTACATTCGCTTGCCAAACATTTTTTTTTAAGTATTGCTTTTCACAAAGAAACTTTGCGCACAAACATTGAAAAACATACTTTTTCCATCTCATATTATTGCCACCATCAGTTTTTTGATTGTTCACAAAAAATTACCATGTGTTTTCTCTCATCGCTCTTGTTGTAATGTATTGGGAAGCCAGAATTTGTATCCATCAACAGAAACATGCATTAGCCGAACTCTAATAGACCATATTACAGATGCATTGTCAGATTTAAGTTGAACCGCGGTCCTAGTGCATGCTGAACTGTGAGTGGAGAACCGTACGGTTCGATTTTTTACCAAGAACCGTTGCACCCCTAGTTCAACTTGAATCGCACCATCACACCATCACCACCGATGCATACAGGGCAGGAGTTAGATGTGATGTCAGTGACTGCCTCTGATTTGCTTTTTGAAGCTACTCCAGTAATGTCTGGAGCTGAAAAAAATTTGCCTGCAGATAAATCACTTTGCCTGCAGATAAATCACTCTGGCAGTGGCACTCATTGTATCTCCTGATAAGGCACTTCATGAAAATGTGCGCTGTTTCAATGTCGAGTGCAGACACACTGATGAGCTACTGTCCCGTGAATACAATTCTACAGCAAGCCTTGGCCATGTTTCCAATTCCTTGGCCGAACATGCTTGTAACTTTACATTCCTGTCTGAGCGAAGCTTCTTCTGACCCATTAGTGACAGAACTAACTAAACTCTCTTTACAAGCAATGGGTGTTATTGCCAGTCACTGTGGCACCACTTTAGGCACTCTCGTGCAAGCTCGAGGGGCAGATTTGGTTGGCTCCATCTTCCAGGTGTGTCAAAACAATTTGAGACGACTGCCATTAGTCCCCTGTTGAATCTTTGGATCAGCTGCACAGGAAGCCTTGGACGGGCGTGTATCGGTCTCTGAAACAGGGTCCTGTCATGTGGGGACAGCTTCTGGATCCATGCCACCTCCAACAGCCTCTGGTGGATGTTGGTGCGAGACCTGCATATAGACTTCCTCAGCATTTCCAGCATCGGATCCCACGAGCTCCTTCACCTCCTAGGCGTGTTGGCTCTCAACTGCGTGGACATCAGTCTCATGTTCAACACCCAGGCCATCAGCGACGTCCCCCCACCTCTACTGAAAAGCGTCCACGGGATTGTTGACGCACAGATGTCAACTGTGGGCTGTTTTACGGAAAGTCACTTGGAGCACATCAAACATCAAATAACATCAAATCACTGGCTGCTGACTACTCTTTCGAGAGGGTACCGTATACAGTTTCGCTGTCGACCCCCTGTTCATACTGGCACGAGTTCATGATCCATGCCAGGCAGAGGCACTTGCACACGAAGTCCAGATTTTGCTGCGCAAGGGTGCCATAAAGTTAGTCGACCCTCAAGTTCACCCCGGGGGATTCTTTTCCATTTATTTTCTGGTCACCAAGAAGGATGGCAGGTTTCGGCTGATCTTAGACTTGAAAAATCTGAATCACTTTCTAAAGTTCCTTCTGTTCTGGATGTTGTGCACAGCAGATGTGCTGCAGGCGGTTATGCCACAAGACTGGTTTGTGAAGATCGATTTAAAAGACGTCTATTTTTATGTTCCGATTGCTCCAGAACACAGGCGATTCCTTCGGTTTGCGTTCATGGGAATGGCATGCAGAAGCAATTTCTCCTCAGAGGAGTTCCATTGGGACCTCCAGCTGCTCGATGGGAGGTCATCAGGGCAGATGCCAGTCTTTTTGGATGGGGTGGAGTCTGGCACAGAAGAGGAGTGAATGGCACTTGGAAGGGGGCCCTGCACACAGCGCACAAAAATGATCTAGAGTTGACAGCAGTGTTTCTTATCCTTCTTAATTTTCAGTCTGTTCTCAGGGGAAATATGTTCTGGTACACACAGACAACAGGGTGACAGTTTTTTATATCAATCATCAGGGAGGCACAAGATCACGGAGTGCACTTCAGGTGGCTTGCAAACTACTTGTCTGGGCTCAGACCAACCTGCTTTCCATCCAGGCATTGTATCTACCAGTCATGCCACGGATGCTCTTTCACGTGGCAGGGTGTCACATAGGGCTGAACGATTAATCACAATCGCGATAATATCGCGATATGACAAAACACAATTTTTTTAACCGCAAGGCTGCGATTACATTCTCGTCATGTGACTCGCGAGAGTAAAGCAGTCTGCAGAGGAAGCATCAAGTCAAGTCAAGTCAAGTCTGCTTTATTGTCAATTCTTCCACATGTACAGCACATACACACAGAGAATTGAAATTGCGTTACTCTCAGACCCTTGGTGCATACAGATAACATAAATACAGATAGGTACAGATTAAATACAAAATACAACTATACAAATATACAAATAAGGTAAAATGTAAAAATATATCTATATATATAAAGCACAAGGCATATGGCAGATAGAGTGCAAACCAGTAAAAGTAAAACAGTGCAGATATAGTGATTGTAGTGCAAAAAACAATGATTTGTAGTGCAAAAGAGCTTATTTCGACTGATTAAAGTGACAGTGTGTGTGT